TCAGGATTCAGTCTCATGGTTCATGTGAAGTCTTTGCCTCAGGCAGTGCTTGGTGGTGCATATTAAATGCTTAATGAAGCTTGGTCATTCTGATTAGTATTCTACTGTTAAGTGGCTATCCTGTTAGGTTACGGCGGGTGAGTGCTGGTAAAGCACCAAATGGAGGGTCAGTCACAAAAAAGATACAGAGTAAGTGGTAGTTTCTCCATCCAGACTCCTTCCTGCTTTGGAAAAGGTAAACAAAAAGTCTGAGTTATCCCCAAGGCCAAAAATAAGATAATAGAAAGTCCAGGACTAAACTTCCCCATTCCTTTCATGTGTTTCCCCCATTAGTGCTTCTCCCATTTAAAGAGAGCGAAGCCTGGTCTTACAACGCTTCCACGGAATACATGACTTTTGATGAGGCCAGTGCTTATTGCCAGCAAAGGTTCACACATCTGGTCGCAATTCAAAACCAGGAAGAGATCAAATACCTGAATGCCATGTTCCAGTATTCACCAAATTACTATTGGATTGGAATCAGAAAGATCAACAATACGTGGACCTGGATTGGGACCCAGAAACCTCTGACCGAAGAGGCTGAGAACTGGGCTCCAGGTGAACCAAACAACAAGCAAAGCGACGAGGACTGTGTGGAGATCTACATCAAGAGAGACAAAGACACGGGCAAGTGGAATGATGAGAGATGCAGCAAAAAGAAGCTCGCCTTGTGCTACACAGGTAGGGAGGGAGGTGGGAGGTGAGGCAGCCAAGGGAGGCAGATTCAGCCCGTGAGCGTCCTGACAAATTGTGGCCAGAATGCAGAAACTGGTCCCTACTGTGGCCATCTTCTGTTCTAAAAGATCTGGTTTTAAAACAGTCTGTTTGATAAAGTATCCCTTTTTGCTTCTTTGTGTGAATGTTAAGCAAGAATGTATGTATTTTTGTATTCATATATGCATATATATATATAGGTCTATACTTACACACTGTGTGTATACACACATATAATACACTTTTGAGTCACTTGTCTATTTGCAGTAGGGGAACTCCCTTTAGGGTTTGTGATAAAGTGAATCTTCTATTTTTGGTGCCAGTTACAGCCAGACCCCTGACATCTGTAATGAACATCCAGGTTTAAAATGGTTGAGCCTAAAACTCAGCTTTGGCATTGGTAAAGCACTGCAGTTAAATTTCTGGCACTCTGTAGCGCTGGTGACATGTCTGTTGCACACTGTTGATCCTAATTTCAAAGGAACTCATTGTAAGTATAATAACAATCATCATCATGGACTGTCTTTTCTACAGCCGCCTGTACCCACTCATCCTGCAGTGGCCACGGTGAATGTATAGAGACCGTCAACAGCTACACTTGCCAGTGCTACCCTGGCTTCAGGGGACTCAAGTGTGAGGAGGGTAAGTCTTTGTCTCACTTTCTCAACTAGAGACGGCAGCCCTATTTCAAGTCTTGGCTGGCTTTGGAGTCAGGTCTGCGTGTCTTCCCTTCCTTTGGGCATACGGTGTCAGATGACGGTTGAGAGCTGAGGCAATGAAGTCAGACCCTCCTGGGTTTGAATCCCAGATTCATCACTTATCAGTTATGGCGCACTGACAATGCAGTTAAACTCTCTGGGTCCCAGCTTTCTCACTGTAAAATGAGGACAGTAACAGTACCAACTTCATAGGCTCACGGTTGGGATGATGTGAACAAATGCAGACACAACATTTTCAAAGCGCCTGGCGGTCAATGAACAATAGTTAGGGTTTCCAGTGTTCGTCCCACCTGATATACCAGGTGGGAGAGGAGCAGAACTGATTTGGTTTCCCTTTACAGTTGTGACCTGTCAGGCACAGAAAGCCCCTGAACACGGCAGCCTGGTTTGCAACCACCCCTTGGGGAGCTTCAGCTACAATTCTTCCTGCTCTGTGAGCTGTCAAGAGGGCTACGTCCCAGGCAGCACGGAGACCTCGCAGTGCACTTCCTCTGGAGAGTGGAGCGCTCCTCTTCCAGCCTGCAATGGTAAATCTCTCTCTGAATGCACAGAACGTTCTCCAATTCATCCTTCTGTGCCTTAGTGTTTTACCCAACTTAGAACATTTTCAGCAGTTCAGGGAAAGTTCTTGTTTGTTGTTGTCTGTAATTAAACTTGTTCTCTTGGCCAACATATATGGCCAATATGGCACCAGCTTGGTTTGAGAGACGTTTTTATCCTGTATTGGTGTGAGTATTTCTGAGGCTCTGGTAATTTGTAAGGAAACTCATAAGACAGTGGAACCACACCCTCAAAAGCTTAATGAATTTCTCTTTTTCTCTGTTTAACTTTGCCCATGCAATTGGATTAACTTAAGATCATGATAATCAAGCAGCCTCAATATGTCGTTTTTTCTCTCTCAGTCGTATCTTTCTAGGTCAAAGACAAAAAACAAATTCTTTCCTCTAGGTCGTGCTGGGCTAAAATAGATGAGTATTCTGTGTATGTCAGGATAGTTTTTTTTTTTTTAATCACAACTAGTCATAAATTCTGACCTAGAATCTGTTATTTTTCTTTGTTTTTGCCTTATTTAAAATAGATCAGAGACCTGATGAAATATCTAATAAAATACACCAGAGACTACTTAGCAGAGTCAAAATAAAAATCAGTCAGAGAAGATGAAAATATCAAGAAAAAAGCATAAAAACTTTATTGTGAGTGGGCATGTCCCCAAGAATTAACATAGGACATCGGGATCTGCCCTCTGAAGGCGGTTTCCTTATTGTTATAAACTCCAGTTCGATAGGAAGTGAATACATCATTCTTCTGTAAAATTCACGGTGTTCTTTTGAATTCCCAGTGGTTGAGTGTGATGCTTTGACAAACCCTGTCAATGGAGTCGTGAAATGTCCCCAGAGCCACGAAAGCCTCCGCTGGAACACCACCTGTGCATTTGAGTGTAAGGAGGGGTTTGAACTAGCTGGACCCCAGACTCTGCAGTGCACCTCATCTGGGGACTGGGACAACAAGCAGCCAACGTGTAAAGGTAGAGTCGTTCCACATCAAGATTTGCCGTAAACGTTCTCTTTCTCAGCCTGTACTCAAAATGGGCAAGCCAGAGTCGCTAACATAAAGTGGCACATGTGTTACAGCTGTGACCTGTGATGCCCTGGATGATCCTCAGAACGGCTCCGTGAGCTGTAGCCACACGTCTGCTGGAGAATTCGCCTTCAAGTCATCCTGCCACTTCACCTGTGCGGAAGGCTTCATGTTGCAGGGACCAGCCCAGGTTGAATGCACTGCTCAGGGGCAATGGACACAGCAAGTTCCAGTGTGTGAAGGTGAGCCTGACAATCTCCTTTACCCTCTCCCTTTCTCAAAGAGCAGCAGTCTTCAAGATTGGGCACTTAAAATGATACCAGACGCCTCCTTTAACTAGAGTGATCTGAGGTGATGGACAACAAGCATCTTATATTTTTGAGATGCATATAAAAGAACCAATGCTTATCCAGGGAAAAGATTGTATGTAAGAAGAGTGGATGCTTCGCTGGTTTCTTAACTGTACTGTGCTAATAGAACTTTACAGACATCGGCCTGGAAGAGGCAGAAATCTTCATCTAAAGATTAGAAATCAGATTAGAAAATTTAAAAAGTAGGATTATGAGACCATGACTTGATTCTAAAACTCTTGTTATATATACCCTTTCTTCTGAAATTGCTTATAACTAGCAGTGATGAAAATGTTTCAGGTGTGGTGTCAGCTGTAGAGACACCCTTAATACTTACATAAGCTCTTAAATTTAATTTAATTTAACTTAATAAATCAAGAGCAAGGATACTGAAAACAAGCAGGTTTCACTATCAGGCACTGGCATTTTTGTAGCCAAATACAGCACAGAATGATTTCCAGTGGCAAAAAGCCACAAGACCAAAACCAAACAGCAAAGCAGACAAATTTTATGTGGCTGTCTTCATGTCTTCCTGTCTTTTTGGCCTCATCTGTAGGCATCCAGGAGCAATAAGTTGCTCCTTGGCTATAGAAAAATCTTCCTCTTGACCCTAACTTATTTCACATGTCACAACTGAGCTCAGGAACCACTGGTCCTGTAAAAGGCTGTCCTCTAATTAGCACCATTGTCAATGAAGGGATTGGAATTCAGAGAAAACACAGCCATCCTCCCACCTGTCCTGGGGCTAATGAAGAGTCTTGAATTCTCTGAGAGTAGCTTTGTCCAAAGTGAACTGGGCTCGCACAACAGATGCCAAGTACTCTCTAATTCCGTTACATTATTTCCCAACCATCATTTTAGTATCTCAGCTTTCCAGTGCAAAGCCTTGCCCAGCCCAGAGAGAGAGGCTCCATGAGTTGTTTTCCTAGGGCTTCTGGAAGTTTCCAAAGCAAATCCAGCTGCAAGTTCTCCGGTGAGCACTATCGAAGAGCTAGGGACTTGCTTACCTTAGGAAATCTGTTGCTGCCTGACACCAAGTTCTAATGAACACACTCATGTCTTCCAGCCATGAAATGCGATGCTGTCCCCCAGCCCAGGAATGGCTCGGTGACGTGTACCCATTCCCCCACTGGCGAGTTCACCTACAAGTCCTCCTGTGCCTTCAGCTGTGAGGAAGGCTTTGCATTACGTGGATCAGCTCAGCTTGAGTGCACATCTCAGGGACAATGGACACAGGAGGTCCCCTCCTGCCAAGGTAGGGCTGAATTCAGACTTTAAGGAGGATGGGTCAAATATCTCAAATGTTTCTGACCCAGGATTGCCCCAAGGGACTTGATCCTAATTTCCTACATGCTGAAAGCAAAGCAGTGCTTATCAGTTACATTTATTGATGACTTTTCTGACAGTTTTAGAAGTTTTCCAATAGATTTTTCTTAACCTCTACCCATATCCTATCATTTGCAGCGGTACAGTGTTCAAGTTTGGATGTTCCCGGAAAGATCAACAGGAGCTGCAGTGGGGAGCCTGTGTTTGGCACCGTGTGTACGTTTGCATGTCCAGAAGGATGGACGCTGAATGGCTCTGCAGCTCTGACATGTGATGCCACAGGACACTGGTCTGGGATGCTGCCTACCTGTGAAGGTGAAGCATTGACTGATGGTGGTTGTCTGGGGGGCCAGAGAGAAGAAAGGGAGCTAAGAAAGGAAGCTATCCGGCTACAATAATGAAGTATCCATTATGTCCAAACCAGAAAGGTCAGGAAGGTTGCTCAGGTTAACACTGAATGGATGGACATTTAATTTTACGGGGATAGAGAGAAAACAAGTAACATGCCAACAGAATTCTGTTCATCAGGAAAAGGAGAGCTAGAGGGAAAAGTAGGTTGAAAAGGAAAATGAGAGAGAGAGGAAAGAGAGACTGATTGATTGTTTGATTGATTAACCAAGGTGTGTTGTGAAAGATGGCACATTAGAGTTCTGCCTGGCAGTGTTGGAAGATAAACACGCAAAGGTGTTTTGGGGCAGATCTCAAAGGCCTTAGTACCATCTCTCTTCCTCACATATTGAACTAGATGGCTCTTCTGCTTTGTACATTGTAATAAATGCACAAAGAAAAGGGCAAAGGGACAGAACAGGAAGACTTAAAATTTAATTCCTTTCCATGACAGTTCTCCCCCGTTCTGTTTTCTTAGCCCCTGCTGAATCCAAAGTTCCCTTGGCAGCTGGACTTTCTGCTGCTGGAATCTCCCTCATGACATCAGCATCCTTTCTCCTCTGGCTTCTGAAACGCCTTCGGAAGAAAGGTGAGGGCATTTATGAATGTACTCTAAGAAGGTTTTGGAAAAAAAAATTTTTTCTCATCGATGAGTTACATTGTCTCTTGAAGATTTAATGAGTAATTAGAATCTAGTCACTAGATAAACGCTAATAAACTGCAGTATAATTAAGCAGAAGTCTTACAGAAAGCGTTTATAATACAACTCAAAGTGGGAAGAGTTTTAGGAATAGGCATGTTAGTTGTGCTAACGTTGGCCACCTCTAGGGGGTGCTATGCACATTGAATTCTATGGTGCCCCTCAGAGTTGTCCCATGAGGCTGCCATAATGAGTATTTCCAGGAAAAATGAATAAATGTTTCCAAAAATTTTATTTGGTATAGAGGCTTAAATTTGGGAGTATCTCATGGGGAACATGCAAACACATCTAGCTACACTCCTGGTTGGTTTGGCCTAGAGTATCTTCAAAATTTTTTGAATTAAGTTCTGACGTTTACAAAGTGGGAAATTTTACATTGTATCTAGATTTGGGGCTTCTCAAGACACATTGGAAGACGAGCCTGGCAAGCTGAAAGTATAGCTATCTGCTCCCTGCTTGCATGAGGAAGCTGCTGGGCCCTTTGGATGACGGTGCAGTTTGCTTCCCCTGCTCAGTTGCCACCAAGTTGTGTTTGTGTTCTGATTATTATGGGGGCCCTGAAGGTATTGAGTTTACAACCCCTGCTGAATAGAGTCATGTTGCTTTCTAGCTGTAATATGTCCTTAAAAGTCATTTAGTCCACATTAATGGTTTTCTTTTTCTTGCAGCAAAAAAATTTGTCCCTTCCAGGTAAGTTGCATTTTTGTATATAGCATGCCACTGCACGTTCTGCACATTTGTCTCTTTTCATGTTTGGCAACAGTGATTTATTTCATGTTTTTATGTATTCCACAGCAGCAGTCACAGCCTTCAATCAGAAGGATCCTACCAAATGCCTTCTGAGTTAATTTAAGTCCAAAGGAATCAGGTAAGACTTGAAGGTCATATACAGTTTTGAAAGAAGGTACATGTTCTGTCGTTCCTCGAATCTTCCAAATCTGTCAGATTCTAGGGGGAGAAATCACTACCTTCATGGTATTTTATGGAAAGCTGTTCCATTTCTCTGTAGAAGGAGAGGAAAGAAACCAGGATCTGGCCTTTACTGGGCCATTTCGTTTATGAAAGTTAATAATAACGGTGACCACTAACCCTTGCATGGAACTTACTATGTTCTAGGAACTGTTCTAAGATAGGATTCTATGAGACAGGGGCTATTATATTTATTATTATACAGATGAAGAAAATGAGGCACAGAAAAGTTGAGTAACTTGCCTGAAATCTCAAAACTAGTAAATGGTATAGCCGGGATTCACAGCCAGGCAGTCTGGTTCTAGAATCCGTATTCTTAACCACTTGGCTTGTCTTTGTGAGAATTTGGAACAGTCAGATCCCATCTGAATCGATTTTTTTTAAGTTAATAGACTTTTTGTGTGTTTAATTTTAAGTTTACAGAAAAATTCAGCAGAAAGTAGAGAGTTCCAACACAGCCCCTTAACCCCATCCTCCAATTTCCTCAATTATTAACACCTTCCATTAGTGTGGGATTTTGTTACAGTTGATGGACCAATATTGATACATTATTATTAACTAAAGTCCACGGTTTATATTAGAGTTCACTCTTGGTTTTGTATATTGAATGGGTTTTGACAAATGTATCTGACATGTACCCACCATTATAGTATCATATGGAATAGTTTTACTGTCCTAGGTAGGATTTTGGTATTCATGTATGGACTAGCCTTGTGAGAGTGTACACAGTTGTCAGTGCTAGAAGGTGAATTCTGTTGTTGCTGTTAGCATGCAAAATGTTAAATGTCCTGACGGCATGCACTCTTATAATTGCAGGAACACAGGAAAATTAGGGATCTAGAGTGACACCTTGAAGATAGTAGACACAGAGAGCTCTCCTTGGATCTCTGGCCCTTCTCACCTCCTGCACCTGCTGGCTGCCTCTACGGCTGGGACCGTGGACCCACGAGGACTTCAATGGACCCAAATCCAGTGGGCAAGGCCAGCCTGCCACCAAAAAGACTCAGTGTTCCCTTTTCCAGTGCTGGCTACTGGAAGGAAGGAATATTCTTTCCCACGCAAAAGCGGAGAGACTAAGGCTCTGGAATCTCAGAATTCCTTTTCTAACTATCCCTTTGCTCACTGTGAAATCTCGGTGGTGAAATACAATATTTTGTGGCACTGTTTCTTTTGTCCCTCATGGTGCTTCAGTTGCTGAATATGTAGCTGCTGCCATGGTATGAGTTACGAATTGTCAAGAGTTTAGAGGAGACACATGGCTAAATACATTCTATTAACTGTCTTGGGGGGAAAAGGGACGGATTTTAAATGCCACAAGGTGAGTGCATGGGAAGGATGTTAATGGTGGAAATTCTACTGAGTCCTCTATGTGAGGATTAGCAAGTACAGTCTTAGTCACTTTCATCCCCATGGGATTCGGTGACTTTAAATTGTTCTCAGAGGTTGTGCTCTTTTTACTTGTATTGAATAATGTATAAATTCAGTAAGTCTTAACTCAGTACAAGTGTTGTAGGGACTTAAAAATGTATAAATGCTAGGATTACGGTGGGGCAAAAGCTACTTAGCCTAGACCTTTGTGTATTAACACATTTTAATGTGATGCCTAGAGTAAAATTTATTTCAAAAAGACAAATACATTTCCCCCAGCCATGTGTGATGTTAACTAGTATAAAGTGCTGAATGTTTGACTGCAATTCCTTTTTTTTTTTTTTAAAGTGAGTAGTATTAGGAGAGCCAAGCCCTAATGGCACTCATTTGTACACTGTCAGGTATTTTTTCAGAGTGATGTGGTTTCCATGACAAGAAACTTCCATGAGGCCGTATGTTCTGATTTGATAAAAGCATAAATGCAAACAAATGAAGGTACAGTTTTGTGAGTGTCTTTTTTTGGAAAAACACTCATAGAATGTAAATGTTCTTGGCATTCCTACAAAGATGTTTGTCAGATGTCATGTGTCAACATATAATTCTTGTATATTACATATGATTTTGAACCTGTGATATGAACTTGCCGTATAAAGGATCTGTCCAGGGGATTTTTTAAAAGTGAAGATGTCTAATAATGATTCCCTAATTGTCTTATTCTGCTTGTTAGGGTGTTCTTAAAGAGAGCCAAGCCTGTATGAGCAAGTATCTATATTTATTTATTTGGGAGTTTAAAATTCCTAAGGAATCTCCAGTTGATCACTAGCAAGGAGATTGCCAGAACTGCTCCAAACTTGAAGGATGATATGGGAGTCCAAACTCCTCCACCCTTTCATTAACGTAGGATGTGTTAAAAAAAAAAAAAAAAGCAGAGTTTCAGGGTAGTGTTGGCTGCAGACTGGCAAAGGCAAAAACAAAAGTAAACATAATACTCAGTGAAAGAAGCTAGACCCAAAAGGCCTGCAGATGGAATGAGTGATCCTCTTCTCTGAAATTGTTCAAAAGTTGTAAATATCTGCATGCACAGCACTGGAAATAGCTGTGTGAACTGCAAATACAGTCTGTGTTAGGGTTTTATAAAGGTATTTAAGATTATGATTTAAAATACTTTACGGTGTTTTATTATTTATTTAAGCTTATGTCATACCTCTTGTATTTGACATGGCGCTATAAAGGTTGATAATAAACGTGCTTCTATTTAGCTCTGTGTGCAGGCTCTTTCTTAAGAATTCTACTTTACTTAGATAAAACCCACATATCACAAAATTCACGATCTTTAAGCGGACAATCCAACAGTTTTTGGTATAGTCACAAGACTGTGTGACCATCTAACTATCTAACTTTAGAACATTTCTGTCACCCCCTGAAAGAAACCCAGAACCCATTAGTAGTCACTCTCCATCTTCCCCAGCCCCTGGTAACTACTAACCCACTTTTTCCTCTATAAATCTACCTGTTCTGGACATTTCACATAAATAGACTCATGCAACTTGTGGTCTTTCGTGTCTGGCTTCTTTCACTTGGCATTCTGTTTTCAAGGCTCATCTCCTCTGTAGCATGTACTAGCACTTCATCCTTTTAATGGTGGGATAATACTCTATGGTATGGATATGCCACATTTTCTATTCATCCACTGATGGACATCTGGATTGTTTCGACTTTTTATCTATTGTGAATAATGCTGCCATGAACACTGATGCACAAGTTTTCGAGTAGACATATGCTTTCAGTTCTCTTGGGCATTACACTTAGAGTTGGAATTGTTGGGCCATATGGTAACTCCATCTTTCATTTTTTGAGGAACTGCCAGACTGTTTTCCAAAAGGGTGGTACCATTTTACCATCCCACCAGCAATGTATGAAGGCTCTGATTTCTCCATGTTCTGTCCAGTACTTGTTACTGTCTTTCTTTTTGACTATCACCATCCCAGGGGGTATGAGGAGGTATAGATGTAGGTTCTTGCATCAATACTGTACAGTTGTCTAAAAAATATTAATAATCTAAAAAATTGGTAAGGTCAGTGGAGCAAAGAACCCACCCTGGAGCCTTTGTATCATGCCATCTTAGTTTGAGGCTCTGCTCAAGTCAACTCATTCACCTTGATTTACTCTCTAGACTCAGTTATTCTCCAGGATGAGAGCCAGAGTAGTTCTCCCCTCCAAAAACGTCTTCTCCTCTCTAGAAGAGTGTCAACACACAAGCTTGTGTACCAAGCTAAAAAGCCACCTCAAGGATCTGTTATCAAAGAATCAGAATATCTGAAATTCTTAAGAAAACATTAATATTTGGCTTGGTTATCCAGACTGAAAAAGTTGTGGCAATACCACTGACATAGGCTAAAGTTGGTTTCACTTTGATTTTATACTTTGTCTTTAAGTATTATTTAAAGGAAAATTAAAGAAAACATGAAAAACAAGGATATCCCCTGCTAATTAGGGCTGTTTTTATATAGGACTGAAATGAGCACACAGTTGAGACATCAGCTTGAAATATAGAGAAAGTAGGAATGTTGGCTTTCCTGGGTCTAAAAACAAAGAGAATAAACTGAACAAATCATACGTATTCAGAAGGAAAACAGGTGCCCAAGTCAAATGGACATGGGCAAGTGTAGCACAGAAGTCAGAAGTGGAACTTGGTGTCAGCAGATTAGAAGATTAAAAGAGAGCTTCTTAATGAAAGAAAATAAAAATCTATGTAACCAGCAAGAGCCTCTGGGCCTCTTTCAGTCAGAAATAATAAGTACAGATTTTACCTCAAAATTTTAGCTTCCCTCTCCCAAAAGATTCTAAGCCAAGAGAAATTAAAATATTTCTCTCATTTGCCTCTGTACAGCCATGCTGCTGGTTTATAAAATCATTTGGCTACAAAGGAGCATGTAGCAGTAAGACAGGCCTCCTGTCTTTGACAACCAATCAATCAATCAACTAGTTTTGGCCAAAGATTTTTTTCTTCTCCTTGATCTCCCAAAGGTACCAAATCCTATCAACAGTTCTTTTAATAACTCTTATCAGCTGTGTTCCGTTCCCACTGATAGCTCTCAGAACGGGTCCTTATCATCAACCCTGCACTGCATGATAAACCTCCACAAACTCACTCATCTCCAGGCCCTCAGTTGGCTGTTGAGATGTCCTGTGGTTCCAAATCATTTACACAGCCCAGAAGCTATAAAAAACTTGTCCTTGCTCGTCTCCCAACCTCATTTCACACCATGCCCCTGCAGGCATTGCACTCCAGCCACATCGGAGAGCTGTTTCTGCCCATTTCGGTGCCTTTGAACACACTTTCTTTTGCCTGCAGTTACCCGCCCTTCCTATCTAGCAACCCCCCATTCTTTGCCTGCTTGACTTCAAATCATCTTTCAGGTTCTCTGCTTAAATTTCCCCTCACCACAACTGACTCCTGAGACCAAATCACCTCTTTAATGCTCTTACAGCTCACATTTTCCTTCCTTCCTGTAATTGTTATTAAATAATCATTTGTGTACCTGTTTAAGATCTGTCTTCCTCACTCAATTCTAAAGTACCTTGTTTCTTGCTGTATTCCTAGAACCTGGCATATTCCAGACACATAATAGATGCTCAAAAATATTTATTGAATGAACAAATAAATAAGTGGATGGATGAATGCAGATTTGCGCTCATCCTCGGGAGCAGAGCAGCTTTTCACAAATGGAATGAGCTGTCTCAGATGGCAAAAATTTCAAGTCCGGTTACAGAACAAGATACGTTAGGCAACAGAATAAAATGGAAATAAAGAAGGAGAAAGCTGATGGTTAGAAATAAAGGAACTAGTTAACGGCTTAGAGGTTCAATGAGGTAGGATTAAGAAGCAATGCAATGAGCAATAAACCTACGAGAATAAGAGACTGTGATTAAAGAGTGGGATGTCTGATCATGTGATTTTAGAGTTGATACAGTTTGGGGTGATGTCAAGGTAGAGGCTATTCCTAGGAGAGAAGTTAGCTCAAGCTGGGTGGAGGAGAATGCTTTTGGAGAACTGGGAATCCAGGCTGTGGGCTGGGCTGTGCACCTGGATGAAATCAATCGGATTACAGGAGGTGCTTAAAGGAAGAAGACGAGGAGCCAGGTGCCATAGTCACAAGTGCACGAGAGGCTGGGAAGTCACTGCAATGCAAACAGTGAGAAGATAGTATACCTCAAGGTCATGAGCTTCAAAGAAGCAGGATTATTTTATTTCTTCTTTTCATTTTTGTAAGAGGCCAAAAGACTGTAGATTGGTAAGAGGCACTCATTATAAAGGAGGACGCCAACTCTGCCTTCCAATCCTGAGGTGTGCGGAGTGTGAGGAAATAAACTTTATCACTTTGAGAGATCTGCAGGGAAAGTGATATTCTGGGGAGGCCAGGATCCTGTGAAAGCCAGGAGGTAGAGGAACGTATAGGGAGGAGCTGGAGGATAGACGGGAATTTGTTGATTGTGAAGCAGGAACTCCAGAGGATAGCAAGGAAGAGTTTGGGAGGAGAGCAAACACAGGTCAGGAGTCAGCAACTTGGATGAATTGCCTGGGAGACAAAAGTCGATCAGAGGGGCTTATCTTCCAAGTGTAGGGAAAACAGGTAGCTGTGGTGGATTGGGTCTTGAAAGGGTGGTGGAGCAAGATGTACATTTAGGTCTAACTCTGGTCTGGAGCAAGGCCTTCAGGCTGTTGCATGAGACTGTCTTTCTTATCCCCGTGATAAACTGATGTTGGTAATAGCAGTGAATGCAGCCTTGGCTCGCAGCAGTGAAGAAGTCAACCTTGAGGTCCTCTGTGATAGGCGTGTAGGCTCGGGAAGGGCTGTGCGTCAGTCCTTTTTACGGACCTAGGGCTGCTGCTTTCAATGGCATCCAATGACCTTTCCCTCAGTTATCTCATGGTGGGCCAGTGGTCCCCCAGTATTGGTTTCCATCTCTCTGATTTTGTGGTTGTTTTTTGGGACCATAGAAAAGCCTAATAATGCCTGTCGCCCTGACCACCCTTCAGCTGTCTGCTACCACGTTCCTGTGACCTTTCCCACTCGAAATCTTCTCTTTAGGCTGAATGTGCACTTTTTCTTTAAATTTAGAAGAAATTTATATAACATAAAAGCAACCATTTTAAAGTGTACAATTCAGAGTGGTGTTTAGTACATTCACAGTGTTATGCAACATCACCTCCGTCTAGCTGAAAACAATTGCACCAAGAGAAAATCCTGCACCCGTTAAGCAGTCAGTCCTCACTCTCCCCTCCTCCCAGCACCTGGCAACCTCCACTTTGCTTTCTGTCTCTATGGACTGATTTAGTCTAGATACGTCATATAAATGGAATCACACAATATCTGGCCTTTTATGTCTGGCTTCTTTCACTGAACATAATGTTTTCAAGATTCATCCATGTTATAGCACGCATCAGTACTTCATTCCTTTTTATGGCTAAGTCATATTCCATAGGATAAATCAATGTGCGCTAAGTTTAAAGCAAATTTCTCACTGTATTCTCAAGAAAAAAAAATTTCAAGAAACACAGGATCCATCCATATGATTCAAAAGCATCCATATGAAAAAAATCTTTGACAAAAGCCAAAAACAGCACTGAAGAACTCAGGGAGAGGAATTTAGTGAGGGGCTAAGTTGAGGTGGTCCACATCTTCCAGAAATCTACCTTGCTCTAAGGGAAGATTTTCAAATGTATAGAAAAGTGAAAAGATTGCATGTATATTTGACAATATTCACTAAATAGCCTCCCCCACCATACCAAAACAAACAAACAAAACCTTTGGATGGGACCTGTGGTTGCTCCTTCCCTCTGGCAAGGGACCATGTAGACATGATGCAACTCTGGGATCTGACATAGTTTAGGCTGGGTGCCAAGAAACCTAAACCAGCTTTTTGAAGAAAGCCCTGGATTTTTCTATACTTCTTAAAGAAGAACAGAAATGTCCAGCAAACTAATAGAATAACAAAGATATCCAGAAAAAAGACTTTAAAAAAAGTAAAGTCTTTCCTTTAAAAAAAAAAAGGACATTTATAATTTATGACCAAAAAGAGGTTTGTTTATCCATTTATCCATCCATTTAACTGGCATTTATTAAACGTTGGACCTTTTGCTTCTGGAAATATAGAGGATTAATCTTCTGAAACCCCCTACCGGTGTAATATTTAAAATTGCTAGATGAATTACAACAGCTTGTTTTAAATGACTAGCTAAGCTTACAAAAAGAATGGAAATCTCAGAGGCCAAAAACGACTAAGGAGCTGGGGGCCTGATCACCTAAGACTTAGCAGGCCAACACAGGGACTTTAGATTTTATTCTGAGTAGGGTGAGAAGCTGTTGTAGGGTCTTGAACAGAAGAGTGATGTGGTCTGACTTGGGTTCTTTTCTGCTTGATATCTTCCCCTCCCACTCTCACCTGGCATCCATTCTCACGCTTCTCTGCTTGGTGTCCTCGGAGGCTGACCCCTGCAGACCGTATCACCCTGTCACTGACGGGCTGGTTTCCAATTAGTTTGATGAATCAGAGGCCTCTAAAGGAGATTAGAGAGTGAGAAGAGAGTGTGGTCAGGGTATTTCTTACCCACTCTTTCCCTGCTTTGGTGCTGTTTCTGGAAGCAGCTGCATCCTTCTCCACTACAGCTCCTGGTGGGTGACTTCTCCTCTAGGATCCCAGTTTTTACTGGGTTCTGATACATTATCTTCTCCTCTTGAATCTTCAGTCCTGGGGATGCAACAGCTTCCTGTCTTGCCTGTCTCTGGGTACCTCATTTTCTCTGCTTTGTTCTCTTAACTTTGTTGCTAATCTATTGTAAGTGGTCCCTCCACTGAAGGCTCTTTAGTGGGTGAAGAACTCACCCATCCGGGGTCAATTTTGTTTCTGCCTGGGTCCCTGAACGATACTCAGCTTAACTGAATCACTTAAATTGCTTTGTTGAAAACAGGCCATAAAGAAAAGGAGTAGAAACATGGAGTCCAGATGGGAGACTATGGCAACAGGGATACAGGTGACAGATGATGCACAATAGAAGTGATCGAATGCTGAAACTATTTTGATGGTAAAGAAAAAAGAAATTTGTTTACATATTGGATATGAGTTATGAGAAGAAGAGAGAAGTCCCAGTCAACTCCAAGGACTTTGGCTTAAATAATCATAAGGATGGAGTTATAATTTACTGAGACAGGAAAGATTAGAGGAAGACCTTATCAGGTTTGAAGGAAATTCAGAAGTTCAATTCAGGGCATGTAAAAGTTGAGAGGCTTATTAAAGAACTAAGTGGAGCTCTTGGGTAGGCATTTGTTTGGGAATGAGGAACATTCCCAAACAGGGCAGGGGGATGGCCTGGCTGGAAATAGAAATTTCATCAGCATTTAGAGAGTCAGCAGCATTTCGGTGATATTCAATTTTAAGAGACCGAATTGGATCATCAAGTCCACGAGGATAAATAAGGTTTGGTGGTTGGAGAGATGAAGGAATGACAACAAATGAAACAGAGAGGGAACAGTCAGTGGAAGAGGAGGAAAACCAGGAGCCGACTGGTCAAATAAGATGGGGACGGGTAATTGGCTTTTGGCGTTGTTAAAGTGGAGGACCCTGGCAAGAGCAGTCTCAGGGAATGGGTGTGGTTGAAAGCCTGATTGGACAAGGGTGGGGAGATAATTGAAGGAGAGGACTTAGAAATATAAAGCCTAGACATTTCTTTTGGGGTGTCATGGGAGCACTGGCACTTCCAGATCTTGGTTCCAGGTTGCTCCCCACTTCAACATGTCTTCCAAGCTCCCTCCAGACGTGCGGCTTACTACGCAGGGGCACAGTTTTCAGAACCGACTGGCCTGGGTTCAAAACCCCCACTGTGTCTTTTATTAGCTCTGTGACTAATGCAACTTTCTTAATCTCTCTGAGACTTTAAAAAATGAGAATAATAACGACATTTACTGGGGAGTAGTAGTATTTAAGCTTTATGAGAATTAAATAGGTAACAAATACGAGCGTTGAGCTCCATAGCCATTGTTGCTATGTAGTGTCGTTTAAAAACGCAAATCTGGTTATGTCAGTGACTCTTCCTTTCCATTGCCCTCCATCATACGGGTCCTAATTTTTTTTTAATTTTATTTTATTGAGTTATAGTCAGTTTATAATGTTGCATCGATTTCCAGTGTAGAGCACAATTTTTGTTATACATTACCATACATATATTCATTGTTGCATTCTTTTTCTCTGTGAGCTACCACAAGATCTTGTATATATTTCCTGTGTTATACAGTATAATCTTGTTTATCTATTCTATATATATATACCTGTCAATATCTATAAATTTCAAACTCGCAGTCTGTCCCTTCCCACTCCCCTCCCCTCTGGCAACCACATGTTTGTATTCTATGTCTATGATTCTGTTTCTGTTTTGTATTTATGTTCATTTGTCTTTTTCTTTTCTT